GCCTAAAGAACTCCCTTCAGTATTTCTTCTAGTGTGAGCCACAACAATTTTGCCAAATTTTTGTTTGTCCCAGAATGCCCTTATTTTGCTTTATTTTTTGGAGAATATTTTGCCAAGTATAAAATTCTAGGTTAGTAGTTTTTTACTTTCATTGCTTTACTGTTATGTCAAGGGAAATGCTTTCAGAAAAATAACCAGGAAGTGAGGGGCGATGTCCTGTGCTTCACATGTCCATCCAGCAGCATGCCTTGCCTCCTTTACTTGTTTTCTTACCTTTTTAATTAATCTGCATTAAATTTTTAATATTTTAAACTTTGATGTGATAGTTGTTATGTTTGTATATAGTTTTGTAGAATAGCTACACTTCTAGAACAGTCCTGAGGATATCTGGTATGTTGTTTCAAAAAGAAGTAGCTTAAATGCTCTCTGATGATTCAAGTAGGCAAGGAAAATTGGGAGTGGAAACTAAATTAAGTCAAAACTCCACCAAATCACATCCTATTATATTATGTTGCCAAATAAGACAAAATCAAAAGCAGAAAGTATGTCATTGCTTATTAGTTGTGAGCACTTTACTTTGTTCCCCTGATTAGTAGTCTTAATCAAGTACTAAGTGAAATTTGACTAAAATAAGAATATAGTCCCATTGTCTCTTTTTTTTTTAATATATTTTTTTAATATTTATTTTTTAGTTATCGGCAGATACAACATCTTCGTTTTTTGTATGTGGTGCTGAGGATCGAACCCTGGCCGCACGCATGCCAGGCGAGTGTGCTACCGCTTGAGCCACATCCCCATTGTCTCTTGTAGGAAGCATTTGCCGTAGCATTGCAAAAGGCCATTCAGAAGGAATGCATAAACACATTTTGTTGCTTCAGATTTAGACTGTTAAAAGAAAGACATAATAAACACTGCAGTGGTTATAAGAAGCACGTAATCTGACTTGAATGCCAAAGACTAAGCATAACATACCCAGATATTTGGTGTGAATGCACGAGGAACAGTGAGACCTCATCTGCTGCAGACAAGGTCCCAGAGACCAGCTTTCCCAGATTTCAGTTAATTTCAGTAGACCACTGTGAGGGCTGCCATAGTCCCTGAAAAGAAAGGAATCGACTTATACTGTATCTTGTTAGTGTCTTCCATATTATAGAAATGTTGATCCACTTTCAGTGTTAAAAAAAAAACCTGACTTACTGCACATTTTAAATGAAAAATCACTCAGTCTCGTTCTCCTAGAGTTTGAAATAAATCAACGGGGTTTGCGTGCCCTTAAATCCATAACCTGGAAAGGACCTGGGGAGCCCATTGTTTTCTTTCCTCTTCCCTTTGAAGGTCATAAAATTTAGGTGCAAAAACCTGGTGTCAAGTAAAAAAGAATCTGGACTTAGGAAGAAGCTTTTATTTAGAAGAGAGATGACTGCAATAGGGACAATGTTCTGGTGGCAGAAATCTGCCAGTGTCCCCAAAACAAACAGAAAAAGGGTGTTTTTTTATAGGGGAAAGAAGGGGCAGGCAGAGATCAGCAGAATCCCTGCAGGGGGAGTTGGACATTCAGGGGGAAATGCTCCCTGAGCCCAGACAGGAAAGTGTCCTGCCTTGGTCAGTCCACTCCCAGGGGGTGCTGATAAGGGGACACATTCCTCAAGTTTTTTGCTTGCTCAGGGTTGAGGCCAGTGGGGTTTAGGAGCCTGTAGCAAAAAGAGGAGCCTGATTCAAGTTTGGCAAGATAAAGCAGAAGGTGAGAGATGGGGAACTGTGACCACGTGGCCATTGGAGGGAGGCTGGCCATTGGAGGGAGGCGTCCAAGATCTCCAGTCTGGAGCTGTCTAATCTGAGGTGCTCTCTCTGGACTCCCATAACCTTTCCACCTGCCCTCTTACCCAAGATCTCCCCCTTTGCCTTCGTCTCAGTTTTCTCTTTCTATAACATCATTTAAAGAGTTGCCTAAAGATACCTGACAGATACCAAACTGCTTTTCAAGAATTTTCTCTAAATACTCTCCCAACTATTTGTGTGAACCTTCCTTTCTTTACTTGCTCATTCATTCATTCACTTACGCTTCAAGTATTTTCTAGCTTCTTTATGGCACAATATGGTAGTGAATTTGGTGCCCCTGCTCTTAAAAACTATGCAGCCTAGAGGGATACATTAAACTAATAAATGTTTAGTTTTAATATAACAGGGTAAGAGTTATGAGGGGCTGCTGACCCTAACCCTAATCTAACTCTATCTCTAGTCAGCCCTTCTTAACTAGGAGTACTTTTCTTTCTGGGGCCTAGACGGCGGCTATATGTGAAGATGTATTTGGTTGTCATGATGAGGGACATCCTGCATCTAGGATTCAGAGGCTGATGATGTGGCCACACATCGTACAATGTGTGGGACAGCTCCTCCACCCCAGCAAAGGATTATTCAACTCCAAACATCAATATGCTGAGGATGGAAACACTGACCCAAGCTCTGACCTAACTCACCATGTGTTGGGAAGCACATGTGGCTATGGGCCCATCCCAGGAGAAACTCATCTTAAAATGTGCATTAAATAGATGTCTTCTGGTGTGTTCCTACAATGTGCAGAGCTGAGCAGACAGCTGTCAGCTTTCATACCATTTCCAGCCTTCTTTCTTAAAGACCCGGCTTAATTTAATGTGAGGCCTTTTAGCAACCAGAATTTGTGGTTTTTGCCTAAAAATTTGACACTGGGTCCTTGCTATTACAAGGATACTAAAAATCATTTGAGTCTAAAGAGTTTCAGGCACTGACTTTGCTGGAATTTTACCTTTTCTATACATGTCTCAAGTAAGAGTGTATCACAGGACTGGGGGGCGAATCTACCCCCACTTCTCCCCAGGAGCAAGTATTTACAGTGGAAATGAGCTTAATATGATCAAATCTTAAAGAAGGTTTCTAGAAGTCAAATGGGAACTTTCAGAAAGGGAAAGGAGACTATTAACAACGGATCCTGAAACTTCCAATACCTAGGTTGGTGTGGAACAACCCAAGTTCAGAATAAATATCTTCAAAGTCTCATTTGATGTGAGAGCTTTGTTATGTCAGGAAAATACATGTGCATTGTTGGGGTAACTTCAAAGACATCTCTGGGCTCTGCCCTTCTTATCTTAGGCCAGTAGGACTTGCATTAGCACCCCCTGGAGCACCGGTGCCTGGGACACTTTGCCTGTCCCTCCCTGCACCTCCTTTCTTTGGAAAAGTGTTTCAGTCATGACAAAACATAAGCTGGGAAGGGACAAGTATCTAAAAAACCCCAAAATACCTCAGCTTCTTAGATGGAGGGACATTTTGACCAAGCAGAAAGTTCAGGAGAGGGTTCAAAGTTGGGTACTGGATCTAGAAACCCTCAAGCACCAGCGAGATTCTCAGGGCCCTCCCAGGCCACCGAATCTTCCTGCCTTTTTCCTACTGGGTAAAATGCAACATCAGAAATCCATCTCTAATTGAACAGGGATGAAGCAGACACCATCCAACTCCAGGGAAAGCAGTAAAGTGAATTCTTGGCACCGGCTCCTACCCACCACAAGGGGCTGCCTCGCCTGCCACCTCACACCTTGCCTTGCCCCGCCCCACCTGGTGTGCTCCTGGTCTTCTGTTGCACTATCACCACAATCAATAATTACTACTTCTTAGGAGGAGGCTTGTCCCTGGTTCTTACCAACAATAGTGAAAAAATATGCATAAAGCCAGACAGAAAATCATGCAGGACAGCCAAACAGCCTGGCTGTGGAGATGGGAGGGGAAGTTTCAGAATTCACTGTTATTCTTGCAGATAAATCAGAAGACAACAGATATACAGTTAAGGAAAGAAACAACATAATTATTAAAGTTATTGATTTGAAATCTTTGAAATATGTTAGCCAAATCTCTTGCAGAGGAAAAAATTTATATACTGCCCATCACATGTATTTGGATGTGAACAGAATTTTCACTAGATGGAATGCATCCTTGTGAGCTGATATGCTCCTTACATTACCCCCTCACCCACCCACCCTATCTTACACAGTCTTACCTGACTCTTTGATTTAAATATTGGTCAGATTGGGAGTACTGCTCAGTGGTAAAGCACTTGCCCAGCATATGCAAGGTCCTGGATTAGATCCTCCGAAACAGAAAAAAAGGAAGGAAGGAAAAAAGGAAGGAAATAAGACCTTGGTCAGCAACCCCACTGAATTGTTCAAGATCTATAATCGGTACAGGGCCAATTTATGCTTTTGTTACAGACCTGGGCCCTTCCAGGAAACTGAGGCAGTTCAAAGATCCCCCTACCCACTGCCAACCCTGATTTTTCAATCAAATCAGAAAGATTTCAGACACGTTGCTCAGAGTAATAGAACTGAGTGTACTGAAAGGACAAGACAAAAGAAAGGGACACTCTCAAGGGAAAGAGTGGGTCCTCTCAGAAAGGAGAGGCACAGTGGGCATCTCCTGCACCCCAGTTTTATTAAGGATCCCAGAGAAATTTCCAGAAAGTTCCAGCTAGGTCCACCTCTTGAGATTTGACTGGCAGCAAGGTGACATCACACTTCCAAGTCCCCACGGCCATGGCAACCCTAGGTTATTTTGGTCCATGCTGAATTGTTCTAATTGGATTCTTTACTACGAATTCTTACAGATTTTTTGGTTAGGAGGAATTATCCTTATCTCCCCGAGTCTTGGGATCTGGGCTATGAAAAGGGTCACAAAGTCTCCCCCTTCAGGGCAACTTGGGTTTCTTTTATCGACATTATTTGGGGCATGCATTTCTCTTGTAGATAACAGGTAGTTTGCTGAGGAATGTGACATATCGTGTCCACTTAAGCCAGGCAAGACTGCTTAAATTGCTTCTTAGAAAAGAAAGCATGTAGCGGTCAGCACAGTGAGCCCAGTTACAGAAATATTCCCTTAACCTTCTGTTCACATCTCTCTGTCCCCTATCACTTTGGACTATAAGCCACAAATCTTTTTCTGTTTATTATTATTTTTCACAATTCTTGTCACATATCGTTGCTGTTTTTCTACAGCGTGCACTGCACACTGTAGTGTGTGCCATGGCTCAGTTTGCCCACCTCATGTCAACAGCTTGCAAATGACAGCTAAAGACTAGAGTTGGTGAAAGACTAGAGGAAGGAAGGGGTCTTGATGGTTCAATCGGAAACCTCCAGCTGTCCGAGGACAGGCCACATTTGGTCAGTAGGATGCTACCTTGTCACTGATGTCTTTAGGGAAAGGTAGAGCTTCATCAGTCTTTCATGACATTAGCTGCCTCTTTTGAATTTTGTAACTAAAGTCTTATTTTTTTTCCAAACAATCTAGTATTCAGTGTTGAAATCAATACCACGGTGTTATCCAAGATTACAGTTCGAATGCTTAATAATTCATTTTGTATTAAAAATTAACAAAAACTCTGTTTTTCACTTAAGACCGACCTTACAATATACAATTACCTTTACATGAAGATCCCTTTTGGTCTTAAAAGTAATCTTATGAAGGAAGCTAGCCAGTATTGTTCTGGCCTTTTAGGAGAACAGAATGGATTAAACTGGAGTTTTAATTGACTTGCCCACTTTGGAAGTGATAGAACATGGATAAAAACTTGAGACAGCGTTTTTCCCCATTGATTCAGTAGTCCTCTTCCATATAAATAGCAAATATGTCACATTAACCACATGCTGTATACTCTTCCTAACCTTAGGTCTTGTAATCGGAGGTCTCATGAGCTTTCTCTTCTCAGGGCTCCACATCACTAAAATACACTCATTACAGTTATTTCCAAATAGCCTAACTGTTTTTATTTTTTTATTTTATTTTTTTTAACCATGGAGTATCTCAGCTACATATATTATGCACATTTTCTGCACATGGATAAGATAAAGTCTTGCATACCAACTCCCCAAGGTTTCAAGGGCTTCTACTGCTCCATTATAGATGGAGGAATCTTGGGATGGGGCCTTGTCATCCCACAGGATCTGCACATAGTTCAAAACCTGGTTAAAACCCGCTGTGGAAAGAGCCCACCACAGGGACCAGTAGAAAAGACGCTTGGAGGAGTAGCACTCCCGCAGATCCTGGAACCACTGCACGCTGCTCCTCAAAGCCTCATGTCTGGGCTTGGGGCTGCTGGGCTGGCTCTCCTCCCCATGCCTGGAAAGGGTGCCTGCTTCTTGGTGGGCTGCTTCGTCACCTCTATGGGCTTCCTCTAGGACAGCAGTCTGTCCTGGTGTCTTCTGAGAAGCTTGTTTGCTGGGTTTTGCGTGGAAAAACATGCTCTTCTTGGGCATTGGCAGAAAGAGCGAGAAGAAGAAAGCCACGGAGACAGAGGCCAAGGTGGTGACATTGAGGTGGAAGTAGGACACGTTTGCCAGGGAAACCAGGAGCTGGGCCAGCACCGAGGCCGCTGTGTAGGCCACCAGCGTGACACTCCGACAGTAGCCGCTCACCTTCTGGTAGTGCTCTGGGCTGACCACACTGTAGATGTAGGCATAGTAGGCCACCTCGGTGGCCGAGACCAGACCATAGACAAATTCAACAAGCTGCATGATCTTCACTCCTTGGCCAAACAGGAGCAGCAGCCAGGTGACGATGAAGCTTATCCCCTGTAAGACGATGACCGGCTTGTAGCGGACGTAATCAGTGAGGACAAACACGGGGAGCAGCAGCACCAGGTAAGAGTAGGTCCGAAGTGGAAAGTTAGTTGTCTTTTGTGTTCTGCAAAATTAAATGTGGAGAGCGCGAGGGCAGAACTACCAGGAAGTGAACTGAACTGTGGGTCTCTGTCACAGACATGGTTAAGATGACGTGCATCAATCCCTGGACACATTGCTTGGCCTCTGCCAAAGTGGGTCCGAGTTCATACTTTACAAGAAGTTCTGACAATATGTTGAAAAGCAACACAAAACCCAAATTCAAGGAAACAAGTTGGAAAATGACAGATATTTGTAACCGGTGGCTTCATACCTCCAGGAAGGTGGAGGGGGAGGAAGAGGAAGAAAAGGAGGAGGAGGAGGCAGGGGAGAAGATCCTTGGCCTCTGTCTCTGCAGTGCCTTTTTCTCACTCTTTCTACCAATGTTGAAAAAGAGCTTGTTTTTCCATGCTCTTAGATGAGTCACCTGCTGTTAACTTTTTAAAAATGTAATTTGATCCGCATAAGTTACTGAGGTTGGGGAAAGAGTCCAGAATGCACAAGTTAATCTTTTTACACTTTGAAAATCCAGGGCAATGCAGGACTGCTGAGGTTCTGGGCTTGTGGGTACTTAACAAAATAGCTTACTCCTCTTCAAAGTCAGAATCAAAAGGTCAAAAAAGATGACTCAGTACTGGAAGAACTTGATCACCATCACCTTTGATCCACATCGGTGCTTGAATGAGCGTAACACTGAGATACCATCGGGACCATCAGGTAAATATGGTACAAATGACTGGTTTGAGGTTGAAAGTCAGATAAAGAAGCGTGTTTGAGTCACTCCTCTGTGTTTCCCCATTCTTGGCTGGGCTTCTTAGGCTGCTCTGGAGGAACCAGGAGAAACTACTTAGCTCCCTTGCTCCCGCCAACGTTGTCATGGAACACAGGTAGCATGAGCAAATTATCTGAACGGGGCAGTAGAACGTGAGTATTTCAGTTTCCATAGAGGAAATGATGAATGGATGGAAGATGACATAAAGGAGGCAGGATAGTTCCTCTCAAATCTCTCTTCTCTCTGAATTTTCAACCCACTGATTTTCTGAGCCAGAGAATGTACTTTGACCTAATCTGGGACCTTGAGAGTCCAGGTCGACCTTTACCCAAGTGCTTCTGTAGTTTGGAGAACTTTCTTCCTTGATTTTAGAAATAGCTACTAATCTGGGAAAGGTCTCATTCCAGCTCAGCTTTACTGAGTCTCTGGAGTCTAGGTCCAGCCCAGTGAATCTTCCAGCTAAAGCAGTTTGCGCCTAATGGCAGCCAAGATTGGCATGTACTCATGTTTACTGAGAGGAGAGCAGTCCCCTTGGTGTGGATGGAGGCGAGGAAAGAGAAGCCAAAGAAGAGAAAGTTGTGATCTTACCAATTACTGTTGGCTAAATAACCAGGCTATAAAATGGAGGTTAGTAAATTATTTTCCTGAAGAAAATGAACCAACACAGTTTCTTCTTTGATCTTATCATTGCTCAACAGCTTAAACCAGTGGTTCTCAAATTAGCATATGTCAGATTCACCCTGAAGGTTTGTTAAAAAACAGAAAACAGGACTGGGTCTGAGAATTTGCATCTTAACCAGTTTCTAGGTTATGCTGATGCAGTGTCTGGGGGCCACACTTTAAGAACCACCGACTTGAGGCTTCTTAAGATCCTTTGACCCGAGTGAAATTTAAAAGCAGCCTAATACTTATTCATAAAGAGGGAGAAATTTTCAGAGGCCTTCTCACATGACTTTTGGTAACTTGCCCCTGGGCCCTGCTCCACCCCAAATCTTCTATTATCCTCTAAGTCCTACATTCCTAAGCGGGGATGGTGTGGTGTTAGGTTAACGATAATAAGCAAAAACTCCTGGAGGTTTGGTTTTGCACAGCCAGAAGATAAAGTAAGTTTTTAATTTTTTCACCTACTCCAATTTTGTTGTAGCTCAAATTTTTATTTTTACATAACTGATACCCAGACATGTTGATGCCCATCTTAACAAAGTTGACATCTGAGATCATAAGAAGTGTTGCTATTTTGCTCCTACCCAAAGTGTTGGACATAGTTGTAACTAATTAACTTAGCACACTGAGGCTCATATTTTTTGTAAAGTCCTGTTAAATAAACTATGATAAATGGCTCTGATGGTTTCATCATTGAGAAAAAACCAAATAGGCAGAGAATTACTATAGGATAAAGCCAGGAATGGCTTGGTGAAGTTTGGCAACAAGTCATGCTTGGTTAAACTGTCACAAAAATTTTAAAAGCAAGTTGGAAGACTGGTCATCAATTCAATTGATTTCTTTTCATAAAACATGCATTTTATTCTCCGTGTTCCTCTCGTACTATCAAAAATGAAAAAAACATCCCCGTGACCATGAAAATATGACACAGGTCAAGAAACGAACTTGAACCTTTGCTTTTGGTTTCTTGTCTTAACGAGAAAAGTGATGATTGCCCAAAAAACACTGTAGGAAAAGATTCAGTTTCATTTCAACTGGATCCATGGTGTCACTGATGAAAACCTACAATATGGCCCACGTCACTCAGTCAAATCCTCCATTAGTCTTTTAGTTTCAAAAATCAGGGGATTTTTCCTGAGGCAGTGGAAGGTGAGAAGGTAAGACTGGTAGCTTTAGACAGGAAAGATATCCACCAACAAACACTTATTAAGCATCTATCTCTCATCTCCTTCATGAGCTCCTTAACATGTCACTATTGCTAAGTGGAGACTAATTTTAATGAACATTTAAATGCAGAGAATAAAGCAGCCCTTGGGGAGTAAAGATTTTTTTCCATTACTTATTGGTGCATTATAGTTGTACATAATGGTGGGATTTGTTGTTATTTGTATATTTGTACATGCACACAATATTATTTTGCCAATATCATTGGGGTATAAAAGATTTATAAAACGGCATAGGTATCACTTTTTCTAAGAATTAAACTCAAAAATGAACATTCAGCTCCCTGAGAGCTGGGATCAACTTTGTCACCAGGGTTTAACACAGTGTCTGACCCAGCAAAAGTACCCAAGTGGCATGGACAGAATATCACTCACCATTTCTGAGGCCAGGGAGACTAGCTTCAGGCTTTTATGTTAGAAATAACTACTGGTTCCAACCTCATGAGGCAGCCTGTTTGTAAATGCAGAATGTCCAACTCAAAAATGGTCGAATTGGTGGGTTTGAGTAGATTAGGGAATTCATCAGGACCACAATGAAAAGACCTACATAACAAGTGACCATGCAGAGAGAGGGCTGATTCTCTCTAAATGGGGAATTTCCACTACTCAGTTTAGGATGGGCAACAAGTTCGCCCCCTGCTGGTGTCTTCACTTATTGTCAGAAGCCAGTGTATTTTTATTTTATCTGTCAGTGTTCTGCCTATGCAGCCCCTCTCAATTGAAGGGCTTTCTTTGTGGTCTATAGAAAACTAATGACTACCTAGGAAGAACTTTGAAAACATAAAGCGTACAATATTCTTTGATTATGTGGTCTATCTGAAATTGAATGGAGCAAAAAAACTGGACATGAAAAGTTCAAAGTGTCCTTCCTTAGAGTTCTTTCTTCTAATTCCAAGGCATTTTTTTTTCTCTTTCTAAAATTAATGATGAAGAGTGAGCTGTGAAAAAATTCAAATACTGGATTTTTAATCCCAGGTAAGTGGCATAATTTTTAAGCAGGTAGCTGCTTTTTTGTTAGTTAATATTTAATCTGATGCTTCAAAGGTCATTGAAAACCAGTTAAAATGTTACCCAACAAATGCTCTGGTTACTTCTAATGATGTTAAAATGTAAATTCCTAGCCTTCCTGTGGAAGAGGGTTCCTTTGAAAGCAGTGGACTTCCGGTCCAGGGTATTGGACTAGCCTAGCATTGTTTCAGACAGGGTATCCTGTAGCCTTGGGACTCTGGGTGCTCAGAGGTGGCTTACTCCTCAGCAGGAGGGGGTTTCATACGCAATCCAGCTATTTCTGTAAGGTGGGTCACCATATATATGTAGGTATGGATATATTTCTGTTTTATTTGATCCTAGCTGTCTGACATTATTCAAATTCCTAAATGTTTCCAAGGCCCACTGATTAAAAGAAAATAAAAACTACCCACATTAACATTTGTGAGGAGTAAATGAGATCAATTACTGATTTTCTCTAAATAGGGAATCAATAGGAGAGGACTCAGGACAGTACCTGATACAATAAGTACTCTTTTTCCTCTGAGAATCTGGTCTAGGCCCAGCTGACCATAAAGTTACAAGGACCAATGAATTGCTAACAACATAAAAACTTGTAATGCCAGACCCAGCTAATTTGAATTGTTGATCATCTGTATAAACTATGTAATCAGGGTCTGGGCGTGTAGATTGGCATGTGTAGAGACCTGGGTTCCATCCCAGTACCACCACCACCACCAAAAAAAAAAAAAAAAGAAAAAGTGTAATCAGTTTCAAGGTTGTAAGAAAAGAGACTGATGAAAAACTGAATTTATTTTTAACTAAGTTAGCAAAAAGAGCTGTTTGATTAAGGAATTACATTGTCTGAAGGTACTTTATCACTACTAACTTATGTAAGAAAACTCATAAATCATCCTTTTGTCCAAGATGCACAGTTGTCCACTGCAGGCAACACCTGAGCAGTTTAGTTTATTTCTGCTCAAAATACAGAAAATTCTGTCCACATGCATATTTCCCTATTTGTATATTTTATCCAATGCATTTACATACTTCTCCATAGTGAACTCAGTGCACATTTACTCTGTGCTTTTGAAAGAGTTGCAAGAAAATGATCTCTATATTCCAGCTCATCATGACTCAGCATTGAAGGTATTTTTATCCAGATCTCTTAAATCAGCATCCCATTCGACACAGCTCCCATAGGAACACTGGTCTGCCCTTTCTTACTGGCAGTGTGAACGCATCATTTTTAATGCTGATGAGGCAGATTTTCTCCTAGTTCATTTTCAATGGTCAAATCACTGTTCTTGCTATTTAGATGCCATGAACTAGCACCAGGGCCATCAGGGGCTGATGAATTATTTGATATCAATTTTGGAAAACAGGATACTGCTATAATAATTACATAAGTGGCTTTTGGGGCTGTGTAATGGGTGGAGGCTGGAAGTATTTTGAAGCCTTGGAGAGAAAGAGCCTAGATAACCTTAAGAGACTGTTGGTAGAAATGCAGTCATTAAAGGTAGTTCTGGGAAGGGCTCAGAAAGAGGTGAGGAGAGATACAGAGAGATCTTCCATTGTCTTTTAGAGAATCCTTGCATCTCCATGTACAGAATGTTGCTAGACTTATGAACATCACGGTGCTTCTGGTGAAGTCTCAGATGGGAGGAAGAACATGTTATTGGACACTAAAGGAGAGGTGACATTGTTATAAAGTAGCAGAGAACTGGAGTGACTTGGGTTGTGTCATTGGAAAGAAAGTAAGCTTGTAACTGACAATGAACTTGGGTATGTGGAGATTTCCAAGTATGATGTGGAAGGTGCAGCCTGATTTCTCCTTGCTGTTTATAGTAAAATGTGAGAAGAGAGAAAGAAATTGAAGCAGGCACCGCTACACAGAAAGGAGTTGGCACCTGGCAACTTGGAGAGTTCTTAGCCTCTCTAGACAGTGCACTACAGACATAGCCAAGAGTGTGGCTTGACAACTGTTTGCTAAATAAATGAGGTGTGTGACTCATGGATCTACTCAGAGGTCTCAGCTGAAGCTAGGAAGTGAGAGGCAGTTGTTCAGGAAAGATCTGTGGACGATCCTCTGGTCTGGTGTCTTGGATCCCTTTGATTGCAAGGGAGGCTGACAAGGTTTTTGAGTTCTATAGCAGAAACATTTCCAGTCTGGACTGAAAGGCACAGAACAAAATTAATGAAGAATAACTTAAAGGCCAGAGCCTTGGGTGCAGAGGCTTGGGTCAACAGGACCTCCTCATGTAGGCCCACTGCCCCAGTGGCCCAACTGGGTGGGACTGCTGCCCCTTGGGCCCAGAGAAAGAAGCATCAGAGCTTAGAGCACTGTTCTCAAGCCTTAGAATCTAATGGGATTTTCCCTCCTAGGTTTTGGATTTGGCTGGAATTCATGACCTCTTTTCTCTTCCCAGATTCTCCTTTTTGGAAGGAAAATATCTATCCTATGCCTAGATATTGTATTTGGTAAGCACATAACTGTTTCTGATTCCAGAAGTCCATATTTGGAGAGAAATTTTGGCCCAGAATGAATCATGCTCCAAGCCTTATCCATAACTGCTTTGGATGATGAAATTTGGGACTTTGAGGTGATGATATTTAGATGGCATTTTGGACTTGTATTCGATGGGAGGATAGTTAAGAGTTTTGAGGGTGTGGGGATGGGATGCATGTACTTTGCACATTGGGAGGACATGATTTTGGAGGGCTAGAGTTGACTGTGTCCCCCAGAAAGATATGTTTAAGTCCTAACCCCCAGTAAGTCAGATGTCACCTTCCTGAAAACAGAGGCCTTGCAGATGTCATTAGTTAAGATGAAGTCGTGCTGGAGTAGGGTGGGTCCTAATCAATAGCTAGTGTCCCTATAAGAAATGAAGAAGAGACACTGACACGTACAAAGCGAGAAGACAGCCAGGGGCAGAGAATAGAGTGGCGTGATACACCTACGGGACGGGAACGCTGAGGACTGAGGCCAACACTGAAGCCGGAGATTCAAGGAAGAATCCACCTTCAGGTTTCAGAGGGCACATGGCCCTGTCTACGTCTTGCTTAGGACTTTCAGTCATTAGATTTATGACACAATAGATTTTTGTTGTTTTAATATGCATAGTTTGTGGTACTTAATCACAGCAACTGTAGGCACTAATACAGATTCCAGTGAACCTGATTTGAATTTGTATCATTTGCACAAAATGTGTGATCAATTAATTGCCCAAGAAACACAATAGGGCTGGGGAGGCAACTCAGTGATAGAGGGCTTGCCTCCATCTTCAGCACTGCAAAAACATTATTTTTCACTTAAATCTGCTTTGTCCTGGTTTTCTCTTTCTATATTTCCATTGTTGTAAAAAAGAGATGGGACAGATGAAATTTTATTTACATGTGAGGTGAAATCTTCCAGTTTATTTTTGTAGCTGCCCATAAATATCTTTAGCCAGGTAATGGGCATGAGCCAATTCCCCACGTAAGCATTTGAAAACTGAGATGTCCTCCTAAGAGACTGCAATGTAAGTTTTAAAAACTGAACGTTATAGGAAATGGATAGAGTGGATAAGGGGGTGTGTAACCCTTGCAGGTGCCCCATCTTTTTAAGAAAATTATAATTTTCAAATAAATGTTGTTAATCTCTTTATAGCTTAGTCGTTACTGTATTTGTAAATTTAGTTAATATTGATTTCTCGAGGACACCCGTGTTTATGGCTTTGGCTTCCCTTTAAAGTTTTCAGGTTGGGGAACAGTGCATCATGGTGGCAATGAAGGTGTCTCTGGCGTGGGTGGTTGATGCTGCTGGGGCGTATGCGGCAGATCCTCGCTGTCGGCCAACAGAGTCTCATCACCCGTGGTGCTCAGGCAGCCTTTGAGGAAGGAGGAAGGATGCAGGGAGGGAAGGAGGCTGTTTTTTGGGTAGTTGTGACAGATTTGCTCTGACTCATTTTATCCAGTCTCCTTGGTCATGAGCAGAACAGTGGCATGGCTTGGCCAGAACCAAGATTCGGGCTGGAGGGAACATCCTGTCTCCAGTGTTAAATGCAGGCTGCCTGAACAGGGTGTCTGCCTCTACTTCTCAATGCAAAACCTGTTGTTTGCAACTGGCGTTATCAGCATAGAAATTTTCTTTTAAGGAACGATGAGGCCTGGAGATGTGGCTCAGTGGTAGAGGCTGTGGGAATCCCACAGTCCCCTTCAAAAGTGGCCCCCAGTGATCTGGAGACCTCCCACTAGGCCACACCTCTTACAGGTTTTTCCGGAGTGGCAGTCTCAGCTCCTGGGGGAAGAGGCTACATTCCACAGCTTGCTGCTCCAGAGAGTCACATTGGTATGAAAATGGGTTTTGTTCCAAGTCAGATCTGATGGAAGTTAGAATAAACTTTTTGTTTGAAAAGTTCCATCTTTGAAGGCTCTGAGCTTGAGGAAAGTTTTTAAAAGAGAAAAGGAGGCAAGATGGGACACAGAGCAGGAAATACGCATACTCAGCCTAGTTAGCTGGGCTGGACAGGCCGGGCAGCTGGCCATCTCCATTCTCAGCCTTCTTGGTGTCCCCCAGGCCAGCAGGTGAGGTGCAGCTCCTCAGCCTGGGGATGATGCTGTCAATCTCAGAGGGGCCTCTAATGCCATTCTGCTTCAGTTTCACCACCTTCCAGGAGTGCCCTGGGCTGAGAACCAAGCCTTCAACACATGGGCCTGAGGGAGACATTCCAGATTCAATCTAAAGCACCAGGTTTCTTCTAGAGCCTTCTTTTGTTATTCGTGGCAGTGTTACAAAGAAATTGGCAGTGGGTATTGTTGGAAAGGACGAAACTCATACTGAGACTGAAAACACAGCTCAGATTGAAACCTGCTGAACACCTGTCAAGTAGAGAAATTGTATTTGTGAACTTTGGAGCTTCCGACAGGCTCTGCCAAGCCTGTTCTCCCCCCTCCCCCCCTTAACTGAAAGCAAAATGGCGCAGAAGTTATTACCACTGCCACTGGGTGAGGAGCTCATCCGCGAATTTGCTCCTCATCTGGAGGGCTTGTTTCCACACTGACGGGGGGCCCCATCCTCAGTCACTTACCCCATGGGACTTGGGACCAAGCATCTTCACTTCTAACCAGTTCCCAGGTGATGCTGCAGCCGTGGGGTCCTCACTTTGGGAGCCACCTTTAGAAATTAGCAGTTTGGGCCACTGCTTAGGCTTGAAGGTTCTGCAGTCCCTTCAGCATGGCTTCCCTTGAAGATGACAGCAGAGGGCAGTGTTACAGCATACGGGGATGGGCTGCAGCCTGACCTCCCGCTCCGCTCCATTCAGCCAGGGTTGTCCAGCTGGGCCAGCGGACACTTGCTTGGATCCGTGGACTGGTTGTGTCTGTTTTGTTAAGGCATGTTCCACGTAGGAAACCAAAGGTAAGTAAAGTCCTCCTGCTCAAAATAAGTTTAAAATCTGCTGTCTCTCCTCTTTATTTTAAAGTCATATCCCTACCCAGCTGGAGAGCTGGTGCTCTTGATTTGTATGGTTTTATTTCCCAGTTTTTCAGAGAATTTGGGGTATCGAGAGAGGATTTGCTCTTTGAGTCTAAATGTGCATTCAGTGACCTCAGTTCTCTTAATAATGGAGATAAGGCTTGAGACTGAATGAGTTGGGGAACACTGAGTTCAAGTTATACAGGCTCCGTTACTGGGATGCACCTCAGAGCCTGGATTTGGACATTGGAAGCCACTGGGAGAGGGTGTGGCACACAGCACACGTGCCAGGAAAGTGACTCTGAGGTTTCTGGAAAGGACCCACCTATTTGGGTCATAATTCTTCACTGTTTTCACAGGAATCAAAGATTGGCTGCAGGAAGTGACAGCACCTGTCTCCTGACTGCAGCCCACGGTACGGTACGTACGGTACAGTTCCCAGGCAGGCAGATGCATTCCTCTGCAGGGCCTTGCCCTCCACCTGTAGGAACACTTGCTCAGGATGCCTGTGGGCCGTGTCCCATCACTTCCTGCAGACTGTGCTCAAATGCTACTTATCAGACCGCTGTCCTAAATGACTTACTTTTTGACACTTTTTTGGGGGGGGTTTGGTACTGGGGATTGAACTTAGGGGTAATTAATCACTGAGCCACATCCCCAACCCTTTTTATATTTTTAGACAGGGTCTCACTAAGTTGCTGAGGCTGGTGATCCTCCTGCCTCAGCCTCCCCAGTCACTGGGATTATAGGCATGTGTTACTGCACCTGGCCTTTTTAACACTCTTTGTTTCTTACCTAGCATTATCACTAGCTGTTACATAGTGACAATTGTTATCTAGTGTTAGTTGTTACCTCTAAAACAGAAAAAACAGGACAGAAGGAACTTTATCCATCTTGGTGCCTGCTACATACCTCTCATTTTTTAGGTGCTCAATTAACACATGTTTGTATTAATTAACTAATGCTATCAAGGTACATGACATAAGACTATATGTCGAATTAGTCAGAGGTCTCCAAGGAAATAGAACCAATAGTAGATAAGTATGTAACTCTATATAAATAATGTTAAATGTGCTTAAATTGTTAAAAAAGTGTCTTTTAGTTAAATGTGCTTAAATTGTTAAAAAAAAGTGTCTAATAGTACACAGATTAATTGAACATTATATAAATTTGTAGAAAAAATCCCACTTGCATTTCTCAGTTTAAAAGTATAATACCTCATCCTTTCTAGTAATTGTCTAAATTTAATGACATTTTATTTTTGTATACCCTAGTTGTGTTAGAGAATATTCTTCCCGGCTTCAGGAAGTTTAAATTTAAATAATGCTCAATAATGGATATTTATATTTATCTAGAGGATTTTCTGAGAAAGAATCCTACAGTGGGTTTGACTGTAGTTAAGATAATCACCGTGGAGAATACTGTGTTTTTTTTTTTTGCATTTTTGCATTTTATTTTCTAATATCCACATCTCATAAGAAGCACCTGCTGATCTGAAACCTTACAGACCCACTTGTGACCAGCAAATGTTGTCCAGGGTTTCTTCTGGGAAGGCAGTAGAGGAAGAGGACCCTGGAGGAGGTGGTGTAATGGTAACTTGAACTGCCAACTGATAACAAAGCAGGGACCTTTCAAAGAGGTTTTGAAGTTTGCCAACCTACCATAAGGCTCATCTTCCCCTCCCTGCTCAGTGCCACCAGATTTTATCTTCTGCCTTTGAATCACAAGACCTTTTCCTCCCCTGCTGACCATGAAGTCATGAGAGCAGGAGTGGAGGGAGGTGTGTGTGTGTGTGTGTGTGTGTGTGTGTGTGTGTGTAAAACAATGCCTGAAAATAAATGGTGATGTGATAAAGAAATGATGTGTTAAATACTTGACTTCTGGATTCTTGTGCAGGGGTCGATCCTGCATTCAGTGAGAGCTGCAAGCACTTCTAGAAATGTATTTATGCTTACTAACTAGTGACAGTCAAGTAGCCCTGAGTAATTTTACTTTGAAAGAAGTCTAGAGATAATGCTCACCACGGAAGATGAATGCTCATATAAGAGCGTGTAATCTTGGGTGGAATTCTGGCTCTTGGTGGGGGAAGGACGTGGGGAGGAGGATTGCACGGTATTGGCTGAATCCCACTCTGCTCTTGCACGAGGTGGATCCAGATGAAGATAGTTTTTTTTTTTGGAAACTGATTAGATGAGCATCCTCTTCCCTGTGGTAAAGTAAATACTGTTCCAATTCATGTCAACTAAGCTCTTGCTTAACTCCTCCGAAAGGATCCTCTTCATAACCTCAAAAGTAACTTGCTCATTTGCAAATCCAATGAAAGCATGTCAGCAGGCGACTAGTTCGCTTTTCAGTGTCATTTGACACTATCGGTCACTCCTTCCTGCTTCAGATAAGCTTTTTCCTTGGCAATATCCCAGCCAGAGTGCGTTTGGTGTTCCTCTTCCCCCAGCCTCCCCTAGGTCACTGTGCGTGTTCCTGCTTCTCTAAATGAGCCCAAATTGGAACTCCGCCAAGCGTCCTCCTGGACCCTCTCCTCACCTCACTTTGTTCCTCTGTCTCTGCAGTTCCATCCCTGTTCCTGGCCTGCCTTGCCACCTCTGATGCCTGTGTCTCAGCATCCGGGACCTGTGCTCTAAGGCCTACGGGCATCTGCACTGGGGAGGCTCAAGGGCATTTTAAGTGCAGCATGTTCACTTAAACAACCCCCCAACCTCAGCCTCTTCCATGGTTCTCCATCAGAACAATGGCACCGCCCCAAATCTAGACGTTTCCCCTCCTGCTACTCTGTCTTTAATGCTTCCCCACGTTCTACCAGGGCTACCTTAGTCCTCAGATACTTTCTCCTTTCCACTTCTAGTTCACATCTCCTGGTGTCGACACCGTGGTGTCCGGTAACCCATTATGTCCTGGGTCCCATATGTAGGACACCTATAAAAACTTAAATTGAATCTATCACTGGTAACTTTGTTGCTCAGCTAAGTTTTTATAGGCGTCCTACATAAGGGATGCAGGGACACAATGGGTCTGTTAACTGCCCTCCTCCTAAGTCCTCGGGCCCTGCCTCCTACTCATTCTCCACTCAGTAGCCAGTGGGATCTTTCCAAATACAAAAATAATTACTGTATTTTATTTAAAAATCCTCCCTATCATGGCCTAACAGACCATGTTCATTCTGCCTCCTGCTCCCTCTCAGTAGTGTTATCCTGAGCCATTCTTTCTCTCCTGTTTGCCCTATTGGTTCCCTTTCAGTTCTTTAAGCACATCATGCTATCTTCTTTCACAGGGCCTTTGCACATGCTCTTACAGAGAATGGGACCTTTCCCCTCACCTTCTGCCTTGCTTGCCTACTTTTAATTTCTAGTGCTTAGCTTAGGTGTTGTTTCCTCAGAGATATTTTCTCTAACTCTCCAGTCAAAGTCAGGTTCCTTTGTCTTCTCATAGGTAGTCTTTTGACTGAGTCTGTTTCTTAGTTGGTGACATGTAGATTCATTATTGCACTTATTGAATTAACTGAGGTCCCCATTGGGGCTGTAAGCTCCATGACATCAGGGATTGAATCTGCTAATGCTGTTTGCCAAACAGGGCAGAGTAGGGCTTAATAAATACTTTAAAATAAATGGAAAATTTACTGAATCCCAATTGTCTCATTTTATAAGGGTCGTAATAGAGGCCTCATAGGAATTCTGCAAGGACAGAAAAGAGATATGTGCATTTACCAAGCTTAGCGCATGTCTGGCTTATTTATGGTCATTGCTCAGCACAGTTTGAAATCCTTCTTTTTCCTTCCTCCCTTTTCTTCTTCCCATTTTGTCACCACAATTGTTTACTTCTCTTCACAAGTAGGAAGTGAATGGTGCCCTGTGGTCCAGAGCCCGATCCTGACAGATGAAGCTGTGAGTACTGGTCTGGAGAGAGCCCAGGGCTAATTCCTGAGCCCTGGGGGTGGTATTTGGGGGGCTCCCTAGCAGCATTTTCTGGACTCTTGCCTCACTCACACTAAACCCTAAGTGGGTGCTTCAGGAAGGTGGTCTGCTTAGAACTGAGTCAGACACCTTTATTCTTGCCAGGAAGACAGAGGCTGGAGTCAGGCGGTGGAGAAGGGCTGACATCTCCGCAGACCTCGGAGGACCCTTCACGTCTCTGCCCCAGCCGTCAAGGCTGATCTTCAGCCCACCTCTGAGAGCTGCTGGGGATGCTTCTGGGCCTCAGACCCTGCCTCTCAAATGCTCAGATGCAGCTGCTCCTTCGACTCTGCCTTTCTCCACTCTTGGGTGACTGTCCCCATTGAGTCATTTGTGTGCCAGCTTCATCCTTTGATTCTCTCTCAGGCAGGCCATTTGCCCAAGACTAATGAATGACTGTTAGCATCGGATTCACTTGGACAACTCAATAAAAATGTAAATTCCCTGGCCATCCCTAAGCTTCTGATTTAACAGGGAGAGCCTAAAGCCCAGACACTGGCGTTCCTGAGGGAGTGACTAGTCTGACATAGTGGACCTGGTTTCTAATCTTTTGCAAAATTCACCAAGTGGGTGCAGTCTCCATTTGCTGAAGGCGAAAGCAGAAACTCAGAGAGACAGAAAGTCCAAGATAATGTAGTTAAGAACCCAGTTTTATAAGGTTGCCAAGCCTTTCTTCTTTTTCTGACTAGGTTGAAGCATGATATTTTCAGTTCCTTTATCTAATTTCTTTCAAGTTGTTAGTCTTGTTTTCTTTGTTGGCTACTCCCAAAAGTTGAATCTGTGAGGTTTTAAGATTAAGGTTGTCATCTAAAATGATGAGCATTAATAAATGGTCACTTGTTTCCCCAAGTGATAATAAATGGAGCATGAATTTTTGAAATCAGTTCAATGGATCTTTGAACAGTTTGAGCTTCCTGGTGCTGCTTGGGCCAGAGTGATCCTGTACTATTTGCTGCTAGTGACATCTACTGGGAGAAGTTGGGATGGTCAGACTTCAGTGATTCATTGATTTGAAGAATTTACCTTCTATTTATCATCACTCAGGGAAATAGTGACCGTTTAATTGCATCTTTACTTCTTGGGTCAGTCAAATAAGAAATGAATTCTTCATGCTATGCTGCAGTCACCAGTAGCCCACACATATCACCAAGTCATCTGTTTAGAGCTCCAGCCGGAGGATGAGTCCAGGGCAACCTGTCAGTGTCAGGAGAGCCCAGGCATGCTGGAAGTTGGCAGTAGAACTAATGTTTTTGTTGAGAAACAGAGAAGGGTTTTAAGAATGGATAAGATAAACACAAAAAAAGTTGTGTGATATGTGATCCTACTAGACTTGGCTGAGTCAATATTTATAACGGATCATTATGCAGACCCTGTTTATTGAACTTTTGGAATTATTCTGTCAAATCATGGAAGGCTTTTCAGTAGCTACAGAAGAGTAAAATGCTATCAACACAGATATTGTGAAAGCAGGAGAGACTTCAATTGAGAGCTGTAAGAAGAGAGGAGAGATGGGAAGAGCAAGCAGGGGTCTGGGATCCTTTCTTTAGAAATTGGGAGGAAAGATAATGTCTGGGACACAGAAATAGAGGACATAGGAAATGCTTTGGCAAGTCACGTTCAACAGAAACTCCAAACAGTGACATGTTTTTGTTAAGGGGCATGCGATTTAAGTTATCTAAATGCTTATTTTAGCTATAAATCAATGGATAGGATTAAAAATTGATAGATAAAATAAAATAGGGGGACAGGGATTGTGGCTTACTGGTAGAGCACTTGCCTTGCACATGTGAGGCCCTGGGTTCGATCCTCAGCAATACATATAAATAAATATAATAAAGGCATAAAAAAAAAAGAATAGGGCCTACATGTATTTACCGGTGATACCCTTATGAAAAAGTGTCGCAGAGGGAAAACCTAAATAAACCCTCTGGCTTCACTTGCTCTTAGTTGACTTAAAATCACTAATTTTGGAGGTCACACAGCACTGGCTTTGCTGTAGATTACACTTCTCACATGTGGGTTGGGATGATAACAGTTGCCTAGGTTCCTTTTTAGGGAGGCTTTTGGTGAAGGCACTGACTTGTCACTTGGGCCTGAGGATGTCCCATGGGTCTTGTCATCTCTGCCTTCAGTTGTGGATGTCTCCTTTGCTGCCTTAACCATTGGGCCAGATTTCTGCTCAACTCTGCATGTAGACATGGTGACTATTTGAGAGATGTTTTGTCCAGAATTACAGTAGGGGTTAACTTGACCCAAACTGCCTAGCCTCTCTCCTCCCCTTCAAGGCTAAAGATACACCTACCAGCTGCCACATCAGAAAACAGCAGACCGTGAGAGGAGCAAAATGAGGTGGCATCCAAGCTCCTGGAAGATCTCTATTTCTGGGGTTGACATGAAGATTCCACCTCTTGCTTAGTCTCTCTCTCTCTCCCTCCTTGCTTTTACCTTGTATTTGTGACTCCCCAACCCCTTGGAGATGAGAAGGTGATTTTCCAGCAAAACTCCCACTTCTCAATTCTTTGGCCACTGAATAAAGTCTTTCTTTCTCCCCGACCCTGGGCCTCAGACATTGTATTTATGTGCGATGAGTTTCTGGAACCAAGCAACAAAATCTAGGCCCTGGTGGTTCCCCTAAGAGATGAATGGGGACTGAGGAAGGAGAGAGACGAGAGAGGAAGAGTTGCCTCCCCCTGTGTGCATTGCTATCCCTTTTGATTGATTTGCTTTGATAAAACATTTTAAAATACATAAAAGAGCCAGTCATGGTAGCACAGGCTTGTGATCCCAGCAACTTGGGAGGCTGAGGCTGGAGGACTTCAAGTTGAAGGTCAGCCTGGGCAACTGATGAG